TGTTTATAGGTTATTTTTCTAGCGGTGCATTGTTCATTCATGGAGATCAAGTTGTGTCTAAAAAAAGAAACAATTTAAAGTTAAATAAAATGGTCTGTAGCCGGTGATTAAACTGGCACATACATGACCAAAGGCGGCACAAATAGAAATGACGAAAATCCAGAGTATTACTTTTTATGAACACAACCTCCTGAGAAATAGGGGGTGGGGGGTATTTTGAAATGCTGCCAAACTGAAAACTATTTCCATGTGGTTTTCTGTCGCTTAAAATTTTTGAGTCAGAGTAAATCAAACAGAAGCAGATGTTCCACCTTCTGAATTTCTCTGTGTGTCTTTGACAAAACATAACAAAATTCTCTTGAGAGGCCTCAGGTGACTCAGTTTTCTGACAGATGTTTGCACAATACACACTTGTTTTACCATAAATTACCCTAGTAATGATGAATTACTCACACTGAATGTAATGGGCTTGAAGTCGAAGCCTCATGGTGACTTACTGCTTTTAAAACTGCAACCTTTAGCTCGGAGTCCCGACAAGAAGAAACCATCTGACACCAGAAGAGGCAGCGGAAATAGTTCATCACAGCCATCAGGCATGAATCCTGTGATCAACGCCACCTCCAGAGCCAACATGGCCCTCATCAGCAATGCACTGGCAGCATACACCTACATATCAGGTAGGACACTGTTGGTGAAATTTAGTGAGCTGCAACTATGACTGCATTCATCTGATATAAAGGGAAAAGTGCAAAAGAAGGAGGGAAACTTTATGTCATCTGAACAGACTTTATTAGAGTGTTTAATATCCAACTCTGTGACTGAAACAATTGTTTATTTGTTATGAACTGCATTGTGCATGCATAAAAATAAACATCCAAGAACAATAGTTTGCACAAAACTAAAAACTTTCTTGCATATTTAATAGTAATAACATTTTATGATCAATAAATATTTGCTGCAGAAGTTACACCACAGCCAAAAACAGGTTTTTATGGGGTTATTTTTATTATTATTTCTTCTTTATTTGAGTGAGTGTGATGATGCAGTTTCAAAAACATTGAGATTATTTTTCTCAATGTAGTCAAAAGGTCATGTGGATTGATCGATTTCGCTGCAGCAGAGCGAAATGTAAATAACCAGTGATTACATTGTGGGATTTCTTCCTTGAGTACAAACAAAATTTTCAGAATTTGGAGTGTGTTTTTGCAGAGAAGAATCTGAGATCTGTTTTCTAAGGATGACATTTTTCTTCATTTTGTGCTTTGACCAGTTTGTTTAACTCATAAGAGAACAGAATGTCTGACATGCTCCTAGAAATTTGGAAAATGACCAAACTGATGCTTTCATGTCCTCCATACTTATTGATAAATTCATTTAAAGTATTGTTAGTGCAATGCTTAAATTGAAAATTTTGGAAAACATGATCTTCAAACACATTCTTTAAGCGGAAAAAAAACCTAACTATTTTGTATTTTAATAGTTGTTAATAATGTAAAATATTTCAGTCCAAGTCTGTTCCATCTGCATGTTGTTTGTCTGCCTGTGTTTTTAATGCTTTTACAGCCTTAAAACTTTTTGGCATGCTATTTGGATTTATAAATATAAAATAAAATTTAAATAAATCCCAAAGTCTGTGTGACCACTACCACCAGCTTAAGTGTTTTAGATATTAGCTAAAGACAATCAAATCTAGATTAATTAAAAAACCGATGATAAAATCCTTTGGTTTAGTGTCAGAAATGAATCTCAATTAGCATCACAACTTTAGTGTCATAAGCCAGTTGAGCGTACCTCCATGTTTTCTTGCTGTGTTTGCACAGCACAGGACAAAAAGTAATGAGAATCTGCTCTGTGGTCTGTTTGAAAGTTTTGTTGTTTTCTTTTTTCAAAAAGCTCCATCTCTGTAATCTGCATATACCTCACTAACCCTTACCCTCACTATCAAAATTAGAAAACACAGCGCCATACAGTGTTGTTCTGTGTTTCTTGTGTCATTGTGGGGCAGTGCTACAGCACCACCAATAGGCTTACTTAAATTACATAACTAATTAGGTCTAATTAAATATTTCCCCTGTTTTCTCACTAATTTGGAACTTTCCCTCTTTCAATGTGCTTTCTCTTCAAAAACAGATCATCCCGAAAGGGCCGCACTATTCTTCGTCTGTGGTGTGTGTCTGGGCCTCTTCCTCACCCTCTTTGCCCTGGTGGTCCAGATCTCCTGTCGCACAGACTGCCAGTCTCGGAAGCGGCCAGCCGTCAAGAAACCGCCCCGTCCCGCCCACTCATCCTCGGGCTCCAGCGACTCAGACTCGGACTGGGACACCACATCGGACCTGTCGGCGCGGAGGCACAGGCGCTTCGAGCGCACGCTCAACATGAACGTTTTCACGTCAGCAGAGGAGCTGGAGCGAGCCCAGCGACTCGAGGAAAGGGAGCGAATCATACGTGAGATCTGGATGAATGGGCAGCCCGATATTCCAGGGACACGGAGCCTCAATCGGTATTACTGAGTACTTATTGCCGTTCTTATTGAAGACTTCCTTTAACGTAATCCAGGATGCACTTGGTTATGAGGATAGGAACCAGAGCCAGCATGGAGCTTTGGAAGCAAGCAAGCAAATGCAGCTGTGGACTCTGAAAACAGAGGGGAAGTTTTGCAGGCTTGTAGGGTGGTCTGCGTGTTCCACTGGATATCATAAGGTGCAGCCCCCTCAGTCAAACAATAAGCTTGGGCTCTGCACGGCAAGCTCACCTCATGGCTCGCCCTTACTGCCGGAAGTGAGTGGTGAAGGGCAACACTGACTCTCCGTTGACTTCAGTAGGCCTTTTTGAAGTGGGGATTTGGTTGCCAGGGACATCCACAGGGCTGCACAGACTACATGGAGACTGAAGGACCACGGCCTCACAGGGGTCTATTATACACAGAACACTTGGCAGCTGGATGAGACTGTGAAACTTTGAGCTTTCTGCTATCTACTCTCCAGTATTCAATATGAACTTCAACAAAGAAAAAAAAAAGTGCTCTTGACAATGAGATGAATTAAGACAATCTTTCCATGGTGAACCGTGCTGCCTTTGAGCTTCATAAAACCAAAAGACTTTGTTTGTGTGTGTGTGTTTGTGTGAGTGCGAGGGATTCATCTCAGTCCTTATGAAACATATTTTATAATATTTAAGAGATATTGACCTTTTGCTCTCAAGTATGGCTTATTTTTAAATATTTTTATACATGGCAAAAGTTGTCTGGCACCTCAGGGATGCAATCCTAGTGTTTCTGTGTTTGGCTGATGCGCTTTCTTTCTAAAAAGAGGGTCATCAGCAGACCAAATAAATTCTTTCTTAAGGCATTGGAAGAAAATAGCTAGAATATGATGCAAAGAGCCTCCAAGAGGTTTTTAATGATTTATAACCTTATTTTTGATACAGTAAATCACAGATCAGTGCCTTTTTCTAGCTATGAAAAATAGTTTGTAGAATTTAACAAATGTTTTAAACAGGTGAGCTAATTAATTTGAAATACTTCATTTGCATGCCACTATTACAGTACAGTTGCAATGAAAAGGTGAAGCTTGTGTCACATCTGAATGTTTCTATTTAATATTGCACTTGCTATGTATTCTGACGGATCTGAAAATTACAAGAATATACCAGTTCCGTACCAGTGGTTTTGCTTGAACGTTTTTTTGTTTGTTTTTTTTTTCCTGTTTTGGTCCTCGCTCCTTTAGGATTGTGTGGAGTTCTGGGCTACTGCCAATCAGGACCATATTGTAAAGCTAGTGGTCCTGAGCAGATGTTTGTGGGTATCTGAAGAAGGAACCAGCTCTGCACAATAAACAAGTAGGCTACATGTGTATAAGTAAATTAGAATGCATTGAAAAGTTCATTTGTACAAGTCAATCCATTCAAACATGAAATTCTATCAGAGTGGCTTATTTCAAACATTTGTTTCTGTTAACTTTGATTAATATGAGGTGCAGCAAATAAAAACACAACATTCAGTTACTGAGCAAATTTTTTAAGAGATAAGACCAATAAAAACACTTTTTTAACTATTATGTTACACAATCGTCATAAATATGTGGTCTTTTCTAACTAACTTCTTGGTTATTTATTAGCTGTAAGCCTTATTCATCAAAATAAAATAACAAAAGTAAGCTCTTGCTTTTGAATTCAACTATTGACGTGAATGAGTTATTTGATGATATTCTAATTTATTGAGATGTGCACCTCCCTAACTGGCATGTAACCTGCTTTTGTTTTTCAGTCACATTGCCAGTTTGATAACATAAGCTACTGCCTTTGGCTTTGTAATATCTTAACAGAGTTTTGTTACAAAACACACAGGGCATTTCAGAGTTGTTATTATAATGGACCAGTCCACATGGACTATTATGCCTACATGATAAATAAATTAAGCGTTGCTCTCTGTCAGAATAAACTATGTCATTCATCTGTGCTTTAAATAAACTGTGTTCAAATTAAGTGATCATCCACGTTGCCTTTTCTTACTATTTTTTATTTTATTATTGTTATTTTTTTTATGTAAATATACTCTTTTACTGAAGAAGTCAAGCACTTTTGGTATTCATACACAGTGTTGTTTTTCTAGTTTGGTTTGTAGCCAGGTCATGTTTGTAAATGAGAAGTGGTACTCAACAGCATACCTGGATAAATCAATAAACAGAAAACAAACAACTTAATCACATCTTTAATAATCGATGGAAACAAGCAACACAATGCAACTCAAGTCAGTTGGGGTCAGTCAGATTTGAGCTTTGCTGCCACCTGCTGGTTGAATGACAGTTTTTGCAACTTGTGTTATACTGAAACAGACTTTAGGCTGTTGTGATCAGAAGTAACACTTTTGAAATCCGTATCGATTCATCTACCATTAATGTCTATTTTGTGGCATTTTCAGAGTGACTAAAATAAATAAATAAATTAAAAATCCTCATTTTGCCTTTAAGTTGTTTTCGGCGTTCGGTTTCCATGGATACCATAAACTAAACAGTGGAAGTTTGGTGCAGGTTTTTGCGTCAAAGAAATCGTTTTAATTCCCTAAAACAGGGAATTACCAGGCCTTTAGAGTGAGGAAAATTTCAGAAGAAAGTCGATAAAGAAAATGTCCACCGAGTGGAATGACAGATTAGGCCTACCATTCATACCTGGATACACTTTTCGGGATCTGGAGGTAATTTGTTGAACATAACTTTTATTATTAAATTTTTTTTTTAATTAATTTTTTTTTTTTTTTTAAGGATTCAAGGTCTTGTTCAAGAAGTTCCATTTCATTCCTAAAATAGCTTTGTGTCCCCCGGTAATGAAAATGCAGCTACCGCATTCCTTCAGACAGCAAGTCGGGGCCCGTTTAACTTAAGGGGCCGAAAAACAAACGAATTTAAGAGCTAAAACATTTTCCCCTTAACATACGAGTTTGTGAGAATTTCTAGCTGCAGCGACCCAGTTTCCAGTAAGGGTGTCCTGTCCACATAGTAAGGTAAATTCAAGACATTGTCAGGTGTAGATGAACATAAAACAAGTACATTAAACCTGTACAATCCCAAAAGCATTTCTTTTTGCTCTCAGTCCGAGTAAATACAGCTTGTTTAGAGCCATAAATCTTACATGAACATTAGAAAAAAAAGAAAAGAAAAAAAGATGTCAAGAACCACCCCTTACTCCTTTTTTAGAGTCTAAAGAATAGCATAAAACCTAAGAAATGAGGATAAATACTTTCTCTTTTTAGTAAGGTCTAAGAAAAGAACATAATTTACAACCAAATGGCATGGCATTTAGTGTCATTCAGTTTTGGAAATTAATTGCAGCCATTCCATGAGAAAAAAAATTACTAGGAACTCATATCTATATGTAAAAACATTAATTTGTTATTCATCATTTTTAGCTAAAGTTACTAAGACCCACTGTAGAATATCTCGCAACAGCCATTTGCAGCTCTGAAGCCACAAATTGTAGACCCCTAGAATAAAACCAGAGCATGGAAAATATTTTCCATTCATGGAGTTTTAGCATGAAAAATGTTTGCTGACCTAGAGAATACACTTGTCTGTTATCACAGAGCCTAGATGGATTCCTGCAGTCATCTTAAAGACACAACTTGCCGTCATTCATTATGTAAGGACATACCACTAAACAAATTTTTGTTGTCAGGACTTGGAAAAGATGGTGTCACTTTTCCTCTTTGACAGGAAATTATCGTTAAAAAGTGAAAGGTGAAATGCCTCTAAATAATGATGTTTGATGATACCTAAATGTGTTTGAAATTCGGTTTTGGGTTTAACAAAAACAACGACAGACTGGCTGACTTGAAATAGCCAAGAAAAAAAAAAACATATCACTGAATGTCTAATGTTTATTGGCATCATTCTGTAGAGAAAAAGATTACAGATGAAAAAATATTTAAGACACGTCAGTTGCTTTATTCAGTTCAGTTCAAAAATACTTTTCTAACCTCAAAGCGAAATTAAATCATTTGAACTTCATTGCCATCAAATTCATCCTAAGGTCAGAAGAAGCAATTTCACAAAAAAAATAAATAAATACCCACATGTTCTTTTCGAAAGAAACTGTGGGAGCAGGCCCTGGGTTTTTGTCATTGTATCTGATCGAATGCTAGCATCTAATTTATTGATTTTTTCCCCAATAGGGTGAGGTTATTGTTACATATTTAGTTGTTTGTGATCTTTAATCTTTAATATGCACATTCTGTGCATATGAATGTTTGATCCTGCAGATACAGATACATTCTTTTGTATTCATGCACATGCTTGGAGTTGATACTGTGATTTGGAAAGGCCTTTGTCATTGACTTCTCAGTGGTCTGTGTGTGCAGAAGACAGCCTATCATCGGTGCCAGACACTCGGCTACAAGAATGGCTTTGCTCTGTCTCATCGTCCCTCTGTGGTCATTGGGAAGGACGTTCTAGCATCAGAGCCATTAACTCACCACGATATTGATAAACTGTGCTTTGACACGCCATATACTGTATATGATAAGCCGCAACATGAAGAATTCATTCCAGCTCATGTGGCACTCGATAAGAAGGTCTGAGATCATGAAGAAAAATTTCGAGATGGGTTAGCGTGTACTTTTTTGTTTTTAATGCCTTTTAGTTGCATGCCATGTTTTAGGTTCTTCGCTTCTATGGATACTTCTTGGAGGAAATCGTGTACTCCCCTGCAGAACATTACCGTGTTCGCCCCGTGACCATTTACTATTACCTTGAGGATGACAGCATGTGCATCATCGAGCCATCAGTGGTGAACTCTGGGCTACCACAAGGCAAGCGTATAAGACGTCAGCGTTTGCCTAAAAACGAGTATGGGAATTATTACAACTGGAGAGATCTCAACCTTGCTATGGACCTGGAGGTCTATGCGACCAAGTACCACATCACAGACTGTGATTTGTTCACTAAGGTACAGTAATTACCACTTCTGCCTACCTCACACAAAAAGATGTAGTGGCATTCATAGCTCTACTTTTGGAAACATACACACTCTGTGTGTATATCTCACATCCTCTGAACAGGAGTTCATGGAGAGTGAGGGCATCATTTTGAAGGAGCCAGAGAAAACACCAGAAGATCCTTACATCAAACACCGTAGTGTTAAATTAACCCAAGAACATGTCAACACCAGCCCTGCCAAGTTCGAGAAGTTATACCGCTTTCTTCATATGGACTCCATGGTAAATTCAGGGCAGATGGGTGCATTACTTCAAGATGACAGAAAGGGAACAGCTCAAATAACCATTTGTTACAACTAAGACATGCTGCAGAAGAAGAACACACCAGGTGCCACGCCTGTCAACTAAGAACAGCAAGCTGTCGCTACACTTCACATAAGTTCACTAAAAGAGAACAGTAGCAGAACATTTTGCTTGGTTTGATAATCCTGAGTTCAAGCTACAGCATGTCTGTTTCCCTTCCTTGGATTATCTGCTGCTGGATGGTGTAAAAGTGTGTTTTAGATTTTCTTGAAACTTTTTGAGCGCCTTGATATTAATTGACCTTCATTTCAGTGTCAAAACCTAAATTGGTACTATTGCTGACCATGTCCATCCCTTTATGAGCACACTATCTATCTTCTTATGGAGACGTACAGTAAGATAGTGATGCACCAGAGCAGGAGACTGGATAAATGAGGAACTGTGTGGTGTCAATGTGGACCAACTGAGAAATATTTCTAACAACTTAGTGAGAATATGCCACAAAGAAATGAGGCAATTCTGAAGGCCAAAAGGGAATTTACATTGGAGAGGATGCCAAATAAAACTGGGCACTAGTTGCAAGATAAGCTCCGACAGAGCACACACAATAATTTCTCGAAAGATAAAAAGCGTAAAACAGTTTAAAATACACTTCTGTTTTTCATGTTTCAGCCACAATTTTAGAAATCAGTCTGTAAAACACTTCCGTCTTTCAAAGCAGTATTCTTGAATTCAAAATTCTGAATAGTGACAGAATTCTCCATCTTTGAATGGCAAGCATAAATTTTGAGTGCAACTACTTAATTTTTTTTAGAAGGCATTAATATGATCTTAATTAATTAATTGTATCTTGACTCCCTGTTGTGATTTGTGGTCAGGTGCTCCGATTCTACGGTCAGTGGGTCGAATCTGATGCTTATCAGAGTCACACCTGGCCTGTCATCATTCACTATTACCTGGTGGACGACACTGTGGATGTCAGAGAGGCTCATCAGCGCAACAGTGGCCGCGATCCTTTCCCTCTTTTCATGAGCCGACAAAAGATACCTAAGAAAGTCAAAGAAGGTAGGAAGCTTTAAGATGTGTAAGTGACTATATAGCTCTTGATATGTGTAAATATTTCTTCATTTTATGTTGAAATATTTTCATACTTAATTTTTAAAACATGCTCAAACAACAGATTACTACATAAAATGAAGATACATGATTAAATTCCTCTCCTTTAAGAGTCCTTCCCTAGCATTGTGATGGAGATCTCCAAGGACCTTGTAGAGGAGTACTATTCCCCCAAAGACTTCCAGCTGGGTCAAAAGGTGAAGCTCCTGAGCCATCAGTTCTTCTTGTATGACTGTGACGGCTTTACTAGAGAATATTACCAGAAGAATTACCCAGAGATGGAGATGAAACCTGTAGAAATACCAAAGGTGGAAGATACAACAAAGAAGGTATGGCTTTGCTAATTTGCAGAACCCCGCCCCCCATAAAATCTGCATTTGGTTGCTCATCACAGATCATACACCTTTTAGATTATCTAATGTTAAAGTGTGTTTGTTTTTGTCCAAAGACACAGGTGATTCCACCCTACAACGGATTTGGCTCTCTTGAAGACTCTCTCCAATACTGTTATTCTTTAATTCCTGAGCCTCCCAGAAAGAATATAATGAAAAGATTAGTAAACAGCAACAAAATGCTTCGCTACACTGCCAAGCTGGTGAGATATCGCTGATGAATAATAAGCTCTGTGGCAGTACTATCAGCTAAACATACAGTGCTGCTCAGAGTTTTACGTTCGCTTGTCATTCACATTATTGTCCCATTAATTTCAGACTTTTAATGAACAATGTTATTGTTTGTTTATCACAGTGGAATATTTACAGGTTTGAAATAATAGAAAATCTCAAACCTTCACTAATATTTTACTAAATTTGCTTTAGCAAGTTGAATAAACTAACTGTACTCAGTTTTAACCGTGTTCATATTCATGACGTGAAACTTTAACACGACTGAGAGTTTCAACAAGACAATGGTGTAAAACTGATTTTAAGTAGGCTGCCATTAATTACTGGAATTTTAACCCTTTGTGAAGTAGAGAAATTTTGTTGTCAGCTTAATTAAATACGCAACTTTGTTTCATTGTAGAAAGGCACAGTTAAAACCTCAGTCAGTTATGAAATTAATGTTCAAAATGCTCATATGTAATATTCTGACTGGCACTGTAAATCAAATAGCAAACTACACTTACTTGCTATGGAGACACTTAATGCTTCAGTCCCTCCAGACTTACATTTTTCTTCACTGTCCCTCAGGACTCCCCATACCCTGAAGATAGAGACCGGCGTTTTATACTGACATACCACCTGGACACCGACATGATCAGTATTTATGAAACGCCAAGGCGCAACTCTGGCATTATTAGTGGGAAGTTTCTGGGACAGTGCAAAGTTTCCAAGCCAGGTTCCACTGTGGATAATCCTGTATACTACACACCTGCAGACTTTGTTATTGGAACCACTGTGGAGGGTAATCCTAACTTCAGTCCTGAAAGATTGTTATGAAGTCGTGCAAAGTTTACAAGTCTTGCTACAATGCTTTAAAGATATCATACATGAACCGTGAGCTCTGTCCAATAAATCCGTTACAAGACATTAATACAGAGCTTACTGTTTACCAGTTTTCAGCCACCGCTTCATTCTGACCAATGCGGACCTTTATGTGCTTAAATACTTGGAGTCCAACCCAGATGAGGTCCCTTCTCAGACTCTGGAGTCACTGAAACAAGTGCTGGGAGCAGAGATGGCGAGTAGCATGCCAGTGGAGCAAAAAGGTAACCATTAAATCTGATTTTTTTCCCTGTAACTTTTTTAATTGACCTCAGATTTTACATCTCTCTGCTTGTCATGTCCTCTTTACATACAGTAGGTGTCGCTCTTTCCACATAAGTTCAAACAAATTAAGACTTAATGCTTCTCCTTGTTTTAGCAGGTGAAGAAAAATAATCAACTCCATGACCTGAAGGAAATTCAGAATTATTTTTCTCCCACAAAGGCAATGAATAAAGTTTCGTCCAAATAAGATTAAATTGTAGTGCTGTGATTACTCTAAAGTCGTTCTCTGAAAAACAAACGAAATCTCAGCTCAATACATACAAGCACGGTGTCATTTAAAATAATTACTGAAATCTCAGGCTTCATGCTGACAGGGTTTTATAAATATATTGTTGCCCAAGAGAAAAACTGAAAAAGAAATCCAAGAAACATTTAAAGACAATAATAATAATAATAATAAATAAAACCCATTTGTTTCAGACCAATGTATTTTTTTAATAAAGTAATTGATAAACAAAACAGAGGGAATAAAAAGGACATGAAATGGCATGCGGTAACATCCACAATATATACTTGATACACATCTGTTAAGTGACCAGTGACAAATGCATAATATATATTTTCTTTCTTTTTTTGCTGATTAGTTCATATTGTTTCATCAGCAACGCTTTTCTGCCTGGGCGGAGCAGAATGGAAAACAAGCCAAGTATGAGCGGCAGTACAGTACTTATGTTTGAGAGTATGCAAACACACATTCAACATGGACACAAAGATAACGTGCAGCACACAATACTCACTTTACTTTCTTTTTTTATTTGTTGTTTATGAGTCAGTAACGTTGTGCCTTAGTGTTGGATCGCAGGCAGTATGGATGTACAAAAAAAAAAAAAAATACTGATACAATGAGAGGAATAAATGTCTGTTGGGCTCAAAGGATGTCCTTGGATTTTCATATTCCAGCATTCAAGCCAAAAGTCTGTAGTAATTGAGTCCCTGTATCATCATCATAACAGGACATTCTCAGCGAAAACTTTGTGACCAGCGGCTGCTCTCCCCCTCAGCTTCACTGCTGTGCTGATGAGAAACCTTAATTAGGGATGAAGTCACCGTTAAGGCCAGGAAATCTGCCACCTCAGGGGGATTTGAGCTTCTTTGTCCGCGGTGAGACTCCATTCTCAGCTTTAAGCACGCCGTTCTCATGATAACCAACTAGCAGGGAGACAGGAGAAAAGTTTAAATATTCTCTGACGAGTCATAAAAGTTAGAGCGAGACAAGTTGAATGGAAAAAATAAATAATAAAAAATCTCAGGAGCTCACATGTGTCCCTCTTTAATTGCCGTACGGGTTGTTTTGCAGTAGCCTTCTTGCGGACGGCTTGTTCGTGCCTGAACTCCCGCCAGCGCCTCAACTGGAAGCGGATAAACTTCCAGAGGAGCCAAGATTGAGTCAAACACACCACCAGTAGAACAGTCATCCTGAGCGAGACCAAACGAGAGAAGATTAGTGCTGCTGCCATTAACTCTGACATTCTTTCTTCTTTTTTCTTTATAGGCCTGGTAATATTGGCCAAAAGACATGTTTATACTGGGGGTCTGGATAGAAAATTGCAATGTTCAAACAGATTCAAACTAGCTGGCCAGTGTCAAATACTTAAACAAACAAAAATTAACTCAACAAAACAAATACTCAAAAAAACAAAAATGAACAAGGCAGTAAGTTAACCTGATGCTAGCATATCAGTACACCAATGTTGGATGTTGCTCCACCTTTATCAATTTCTTATTAAAAGAAAATAAAAACTGAGAAATTTGCATTTTATCAAGCTCACACATTATAAAGAACAGAAACTATTTAATAGGAACTGATTCTTTCTGATAAATAACATCCTGTTGTCAAAAGGCTTTAAAAAACCCAAACCATCTATTACCAACAGACTCAATTGAAGAAAAACAAGATCTACAACACGTCATTTCATTATTAGAAATATAAACATGACTATCCACAGAGACAATATATATATTAGTTTATTTAGCTGGTATAAATCCAACCAGCCTCATTTTGTTGAGTTACTTATTTAATACCACAAAACAGCAAAGAGGAAATATAAGCATCATTTAATTGCACTTCAACTGAATAATCCATATTACTTATGCACATTTCTGCTTACCAATGATTTGTTAATGTCATCTTGTATTTTCAGCATAATCCAAAGGAGCAAAAAGCATAAATAAAAAAAATGATAGTAGGTGTTGATGTACACGCTATTAATGGAATATGTTTTGTGTTGGTAAAGTGAAAAAAAAAACAACTTTCAAACCAACAGGGGAACATTTCAAAACAAAACACGGTTCAGGTTCACATGTTAAGAAAAGCCGATACCGTTTTGGGAAAAAGAAAAAAAAAATAAATAATAGTGGGAGGGTGAACTTAAAAGTGAGCTTTTTTTTCAGTTTGGCAAGTACATCAGGAAAATTCTTTTTCAAAGCTGTAATATGGTACTACTGGAGTTGGCTGTAGAGTGGCAGGTTTTTCTCAAATGATAAAACATTAGTTTTTTCTATTCGTCAAAAAAACCAAAACCAGGGCTCACCTTATCAGAACTGTGTTGAAGTTTCCCATCTCTATGTCCAGCCCCTGATTCTCACAGCGGGCCAAACCAAAGCCCACGGCGAGGAACATCAGGGTCAGAGTGGCCATCCGTGTAAACACGAAGCTCACCGCCCACAGATCAAACCTGAACCAACACAGCAACGTGGCATTTTTCAGATTCACCCTGCATGCAGCTGCATTAATGCAAATGAAACTTTTACAGCTCAATGACTTGGAACCTATTTAGGAAAGAAACCCCTTACATTTTTTGATGATTCTCATCAGTGAAGTACAGGAGTCTGGCAATATGGAAGCCCAGTTCTGACACATACTGGAGAAAAAGGAGCACCAGACCCACACGGCTCAAGCTACAGAAGAGAAAAGATCAACTTGAGGACGTACAAGCAAAACCACAAACCAACTGAGCTGGGTTATCTTAGAACTAATGCAAACTTCTTCACAGGTCTTCTACACTTCACTATCACATTACCAATCAGCTCTCCTCACAGATACTTACTTTAACAAATAAGCAACAGAGATGTGCAGCAGATAAAGGCAGATGTACTGCAGCTGACGTGGAATCTCCTCCTGAAACAGAAAGCAGAGTTATTTTTAGAAACACACCCGACTCTCAAATCTTCCATGACATTGCCCCTCATTTTGTTTAGCACATCTGCAGGGAAATTACACAAGAAGTCCATGGAAGGAGTTCTAAACAAAGCTTATCTCGTCCCTCTCCAGAGCTCCCTCTGTTCCCGGGCCTCCCCCACTGACCTTGCGTACTTTCTGGAAGTAGAGCTCTGGCAGAGCGTGGAGCCAGTAGGCCAGCTGAGTGAGGTAGAAAAACTTCACCTGAAACCTTGAATGCAAACATGGAGAACGGTGAGAGAATTAAACAGAAGCAAAACAGCAGCAAACATGCTGCAGTTGTGTGTGCATAAATGAACACAGATGATTCTTTTCTGATCAGGAACATACAGTGCACTAACTTTGGTGGTGTCGGCCACTTAGGCTTTGTTTTTATTTTGTTTCAAGGACGGACATTGTTTTAAGAAATAGTTTTGAAGCTCTGTTCTGAAGCTGTTCTGTGGGTCATTGGTAGCGTCTTCTTTGAAATAGAACTTTTCAGAGGGGAATGGGGTTTTTATGCGTCATAAAATCAAAAGAATTGTTTAAGCATAAATAAGGGTTTCCAACAATATGAAGAACACATAAAGCCGCATGTTTAATTTGCCCTCACAAATCCCTTTCAATTTCCTATTTATGTTTTCATAAAAACACTGTTTACAGCACGCCGTGTATTTGCCAGTTTCTACATCATTGAAAACTACTGCAAAAGTATTTAATTACTAAGCTGTAAAAAAAATAAATAAATAAATGATCTGCAGTTTTAAAAAGTCAGTTTAAATTGTTTATACAAAGAAGAAAATCCTTTAGTATGCTGATATGCTGGAAGCATTATGCACTGGGGCCATTGTCATACATATAACATGCGACTCCTTTTCAACATTTTTATTTTTCTTTCAAAACTTTGCTTGCAAATGTGGCGACCTTCTGATAACCCAAAGCAATTCAAACTAAATGGAGTACATGGGTAAATTAAGTTACAATCCTTCTTGACTTCAAACTAGGTCTTGCTTCTTCATAAAAAAAAAACTAAACAAAAAAAAAAGAAAATTGTCAATTCTTGTCAGGATCCAATTTCTCAGTGCATCTCAGATATCATACAGGTGGCCGATTATGAATAAAAATGATCTAGAAGCATATTTTTCAGCAGGACTTTATTCAGTTAAGTAAATTCTTACTTTTTATTACTTCTGCTTAATATTCCAGTGTACCATCAAGCAGCTCTCTATTTCTAAAAGAGTGAGCCTTGTAAATATCTACCTGAGGTGTGAATGGGGGTAGTTCTCCCAAAGGCTGCTGGGATGCAGAAGATATCCTTCCTATTTAGAAAAGATCATAAAGAACAAATAAAACTCTCTAACTGCCTCATTTCTACATGTCAAAGTTTGAGAATATTTGTGGAGCATCAATAAATAAGACGTTGTACCAGTGAAATCTTTACTCACTGTAATGAGGATGTAGAAACTCCACACACTCGACACTAAATGGAACACACCCAGCTGACCCGACTCATTAAACTTGGTGTTTTTGCTCTTGGACAGGTGAAGGCGGCGGTTCACTTTCTGTGACAGGAACAAAACAACAGATCATGTGAGTGACACTGGATCCTGTCATAATGTTCGTCACTGTCACTGTGGCGCACAAGGAAGTGTCACCGATACAAAAAAAAAAAGTAGGGCAAGAAGAGACAGGCAATACCATTTATGGCTGCTGCTGACAAACACTCCCCTTTCAAGGCAAACAAAAAACTGATGGACGGTGCTAAAATAAAATTCATTTGTCTTTAGTGACTGGTTGTATTTTAAGACAGATCAAATATTATGCGACTTTGCCATACACAAGCAGACTTTTTCAGTGTTTAAAATGAGCTTGAAAATATTTGTGATGTACTGTGATTGAACATTATGTGTGCAAATCCAGCCTGGTGAAAAAGTTTATTTTCTGACCTTTGGAAAGACTTGAAATACAATCTTTCACGCTGTCAAAATCACATTACTTTTACCAATTTGCATGAAGCCCAAAAAATTCTATTTAATTTCTGGTTGTTTTACCTGCTCTTCTGAATTATGCATATTGTGTTGGCGTGTCACATAATCTCCTAATCAATTACAATGACAAAGTTCTCTGAATACCTGTTAAAAGCAGTGAAGTCATCAAAACATTTTTAAATTCAAAACTTGGTGTTTAACAAATGATTTAATGATTTAGCAAACTTGGAGAAAACTTAATATAAAGGCAAACTTTAGCAATTTTGAATCAATAATGGAAGAAAATACTTTTGTCCTGTTTGTAAATGTTGTGATTTACAAATGAATTTTGCTTGGCAGTTTTGGCGCTTACATCCAGAAGATACTCCTGAACTACGGCATGGAGGATGATAGCGATGAAGAAATAGAAGAGGATGGTGGCACAGTCCTTCCATCCATAATTATACGTAGTCACCTCTCCCTCTAAGCACACAAAGGAGAGGAGAAACACACACAACACACCGTCCGGTTTGTTAAAACATCCTGGAGAAGCTGACTGCCTTAATACACCATAATGACAGAATATTTATATAAAGGAATATTCTGCATTTAAGTTAGAAAAAAAAACGTGTTCATGGTCTTAAATATAATTGCTTACCTAGTGATAATGTGGTGATGTTGTACTGGGGCTGAATAAAGAGTATGGCTGTCTTTGCTGTTGCCTGAAGAAAGAAAAAGGACAAAAACAAGTAAGTGATCTGAGTAAAGCAGCTTCGACAAACTGAGTCTTCAAAGTGTTAGATCAAGATAGTGTCAACAGGAGGAATGAAAAGAGGTAAGATGAACTGAATTCCTATGGATAATAGGTTAAAGACGTAATCAGGAGTACCAAACAGGAAAGACCAGATACTTGAGGATTTTTTGTATGAGGAATTTCCATAGTATGATGCTTCTACTGTGGTGGTGAAAATACTGTATACAAGCCAGAAAGTTCTATTTTAATATTATCCGATTAGATCACCTTCGTAGACATGTCTGGATTGTTCCATTGACATGGCTTGTGGCGAACTACAAACAAAACTTCTTAATGCTTCCATTAAAACAATTATAGGTAATACGATCTGAATACGACTGAGCTGTACTGAAATTATTCAGACTAATATGAACTGAATTTGGATCCAACTGTGATTGGCACAACTATCCTCCATCAACGTAAACCACTGATCCTCCATCAACGTAAACCACTGATGCTGCTATCATGTTTTACAATTGAGATTGTGGGTTTTATACCATGTACGGTGTTTGGTTTCTGCCATTAATGGCGTTTCAACTGGAGGCCAAAAGGTTCAGTTTAGATCTTTGAGCATCTTCTTTCCTATGTTTGCCGATTTGGTCTCATCTAAACAAAGTAACCACCTTTCACATTCACAGGGTCAGAATCTGACTATATGACTGGGAGTCAAAGAATGAAAAGAGTGGATTGGAATTTGGACAAATTACACGTGTTTCCAAGTCAGGTGCCTTGAGATAACTTTCATTGTGAAGTGGTGAAAAGTCCAAAAGCTAGCCTCGTAAAGGACAGTATTTGCTTGCTACTGTTTTAAGCAGTCCAAGCTGCCAAAAGCATGCAGGACTGTTGAGAAAGACTTGGTGCTCTGCCATCGGATTCACTGCTTTTGTTCTGTTTGATGGGGGTATTTGACCTGTGGGAACAAGATCAGAAAAATCAAGTTCAGATGAAATGCACAGTTCCCTTTTTCTTCTGAAACCAGAAAAAAAAAGGGAATCCCCCAGCAAGTTATTCTCAATTCGACCAGATGTGTGATGACAACCAGAGTTCCGGACAGAAACTTGAAACACCCGGAGGTAGGGACACGGTGGCTGTGGCAGGGGGCTGAGGAGACGCAGCTCCTCTATGAACCATCTAGCTGAATGTCCTTGCCGAAATAAAGGCTGGTCAAAGCGATCTTTGGAGCTGCTGGAGCCAGAGTAGCCACAAGCAGAGGATCAGAGTGAGACGTGGCAGTTAACTTCACAGAGAAAGCGCGCGGCTGAAAATGCAGTGACTTCCGTTACGGCATTTCAAAATAAAAAGGAGCGGGTTTAATTACAACAGCGCGAGTGCCGTGCTATTATTTTGAAAATAGGAACTGCCTAATTTCCTGCATAATTTGGGGATTTTTGCTACAGTTCATAAAGTTTGTTACAACACAATGTGTGCTGGAATGAAGCATACGTTAAACATAAGAACACATTTTCATCTTGACAGCAAGCAAACCAGGTAATTACGGAGTCATTTTGTTTATGCAAAAGAAATTCAAAAGCCCCATTAAAGATACTTAACACTAAAAGCAAATATGTAATATTTCACTTTGAAAAACAGATCCCATAATATGCCTTTCAGTTTTGTTCAACACTTATGTGAAGCAGCTTTAATTCGTGTATGTCTTCGAGCAGAAAAGCAGCACTGACTGGCAACTAAAGTTGTACAAAAAATAAATAAATAAAAAAGTACATGAAAGAAGGTGATATTCTCGTTCGTATTGGTCGGTGTGAACGAACCTCTGATGCACTCTGCACATAATCGACGGAAACGGAGCTTTTTCGCTCACACATCAGTGCAGGAACGCACAGACAGACCTGCATTCTTAAAACAGCTGAGAGACAAACAGAGACGAGGGAAGAAAAGAAAGAATCAGAGTTCATCTCACCTCAAACATCAGCCCGATCAGAATGAAAATCACCAGGCTGAACACGATGTCGGCATGGTTCTGGATGAGAAACTCCTGGCTGAAGAACGGGTAGCTCTTGTTTCTCCGGCGAAATGCCATGTCAGCTCACTGATTTTATAAATCAGAAAAAAGAGAAAAATGTTCGGCTCTGCGAAGTTCAGGAGTTAACTTTCGCGGCGGTTTGCGCATGCGCCTAATCTTAAAGGGCGAGTGTCATAAATACCTTTAAGGCCAGTTTGGTCTCAGCCTGCTGAAAAACAAAAGGTAATTAAGGCACACGTCTCAAAACTGAGGCTGCTTTAACAACCAGTATTTTTTTTTTTACACCGAGCAATGAAAAATATTTGCCTAAAAGTTACAGAAACCTTTAGCCAAATATTATAAAGACAACCATTATAGTAAGTGCAACAATAGGAGTGATTATTATTTTCCATTTAAGTTTTTTTTTTTTTTTCAAAGCCTACAGTCAATTGTGGAAAAATAAAAACAATAGGAGAACATGTGAATAAATAAAATATTCACTACGTGAAAAAAAAAGTCCTATTCATGTTCCTTTTGCTTTTTACACGTGATTTTATGAAAAGACCGACACAAAGCCAAGGACAACCGTGAAGCAAAAGAAACATACTATTTACATATATTTTTCTGAAGTGGTGTGCGTCAAATATTTCAGTCTAAAGCTGCTTTTCCTCCAGGAGTCTCTTGTATTTAGCTCCGCCCTCCATCGGTTTAAATAACTTTACTATCACTGCAGGAAGAACATACAAATCTGAGATCGTTTCAATAATTTCCTAAGAATTGTCTTTAAAAAAATGACAGAAATAATAAGGCAACTCAGTCAAACATGTAGGCTGTTTATTGCTTATTTCAAGCCACCAGCGGCCTCAGACGTCATATTTCAAAATGCCACACAAGCATTGTTACACTGCTTTCCTGTCTCAGAACAGTGCTTCTAATAAAAGTTTGTCACCTGAAAAGAGCAATCAAGAGCAAATAAATAAAAAAAAAGTCACCACAAATGTCTCATAAGCACATGATTCATTTTGTCTCACAGTAGATGAATTTATGCCTGAGACATTATTGTTGTTTTACAACATAATGTTAGTTCAATAAGTTATTTAACAATTACATGGTCAACATGTAACAGAAAAAAAAAAGATAAAAACATCACAGTTTTCTGCTCAACGCAATGCCAATTAACACCACATGAGAAACAGGGCGTATTAATATCACATGTATGTAGTGAAGTCTTATTTTTTATGTTAAAGAAAGAAAAAAAACAACAACATTGCAGCAGAAACAGATGATACTGAAAACAGTTGTGCTTTTAAGAAGCCATAAAAGCTATGGCTTACATTGAGATAGGTTCAGAGGTCAGATGCTCCACTCACTGCTAGAACTATGCACTCTGTCATCAAATAGCTGCAGTGATATGAATGTTTTGTTATGACTTACTGAAATTTACTGTTGTTTCAGAGCAGAGTCAGTGCCTATGATAAAATGTTTTAAACCAAACTAACATGTACAGTGCTTTGAATAAATACTCATATCCCTTGAATTTTTTTCACATTGTGTCATCAAGCAACCACAAATTTCAATGCAGTTCATTGGAATTTTATGTGACAGATCAACATTTTTTTTTTCAAATGAAAATGAAAAATGTTTGCTGTGCATTTGTAATCATACCCCTTTAATCTACCACTGATACGACTATATCTAATGAAACTAATTGAATCCAGAATTAATCTGTAAATACAGTCAATCTGCATGAAATTTTATGTGAGTATAGGTGCAGCTGTTTTGTGAAGGGATTTGTTAGGGAATACTACTGATCAAAACACCCGAGACCATGTTGAGGACAAGTTCTCAAAACTATTAATGAAAAATTGTTAAGAATAGTACAAACTACTCTTGAAGAGACAACTGTTTGTTTTGTTTGGAGTTTACCTCATATTATGTGTGTGACATTGTAAATATGTGGAAGAAATTCAAATGACAACAAAATCATTTTTTTCCCCCTGAATCCTGCAGCAGATTACTCCTGCATTCAGCCTGAAAACATTGTGCTCACTGTGAAACACGGTGGTGCCAGCATCATACTGTGGAGATGTTTGTCTTGAGCATAAACAGTTGAGACTATCACTGGGTAAAAACTAGTAAATTAATACCAGTTACTTCACAACTTCACAAATCTGCACATGCACATAGAATCCCAATAAAAAGAGTTTCTGGTCGGAAACTTCCAAAATGTAAACAATTTCAAGGGGTATGCATACTTTTGCTTTCATATTAAGTAATTACAGTCATGTGGAAGCAATTTTTTTTTTTTTTTTTTTTTGCACAGTATAATTCCAAAGTGTAGCTGCCAAACAATAGCAAAAATATGAACTGAAACTGGGACTGGTGGCATGATCATACACCATTAGTGTCACTTGAATGTCAGAGTTTCCTTTTAAAAAAAACACAGAAACTATCTGTTTCTGTGTTTCCAACATTTAGAAGCATTTTCAAGAATGGTTAATGTTAAGAGAAAAAATAGATGTTATTTTAGGATTATTTTAGGTTCCCTACTGCATGTAGTGCTCTAATCCCTATGACTCAGATAATGCTGGTGTGTTCCGGTAATGTTGGATAAGCTGCTGCTCTTGTTCCCTGATTGTGCCACAAGACAGCTAGAAGGTATTATCTTCATCTCTGCGGGACAGTATGAGCTGTCTCCTTGGACCTGTGAGATGTGGGATGCTGGGGACAGAATCCAACACCCCGCAGTCCAACTTAGGAGTGGAGGTGCAGCGTGGCCCGACGCGGCTCATGAGTCCACGCACGTCTCTGTGCAGGGCAGGATCACTGGGGATGGAGCTGAGCCGGACCCCCTGTTCCAGACCCCCGATGTCCCGGTCCAAACGGGGGTTGCTGGCGCTGCTGGGGGACTGGGGATCAGCACTGAAGTACAAGGTAGAACTTGATTCAGTTGGGCAGTAATAAGGCTCCGGGCTGTCTCCGAAAACGGACTTGCCCTCCGGGGAGCTGCGTTTGAAATCCGACGTGGGTGACTCCATGGGGCTTTCCATCTCCAGACTGTCGTCCTCTCCCTCGGGTCGCTCGGTTGACGTGGGCTCGCTCACGCTCTGGAACTCGTCTTTGCAGTCTGAGAGTGGAGCCAGGCCCTTTCCCTGGGACTCAGAGGTGGACATTCCTTCACAGCTGCCACCAGCCGTAAAGGTGATGCCCTCATTACTTTTAAACTCTTGGTTGTATTCCTCTATGTCCAGTATGCCCGCCGGCCCACCGGCTCCATATGCCCTGTTGATTTTACAGAGATCGCCAGTTTTCAGGGCCAGACGGATGAGGAGCCAGTGGTGGTGGAAGCAAGGGCAGGAGCTGTTAGAGTGGCCTTGACAGTTTCCCCGGTGCTCCAGCAGAGAGCCAGCCACGCCAGACAGGGAGAAGCTGCAGTGATTCTGGACAGAAGACGCTGGCAGACTTTTGTCGCCAAGAGAGAAGGAGGACTCTCCTTGCTCTATGCATGTGCTGCCCATCTGATGCTGGTTTGTACCTTGGGAAATTTCTGTGGACTTGGGATGGAGGAACCGGTAGTACAGGACCAGCGAGGTGGCTCCTTGGAAGAAAACAAAAGAAAATATTAAAGTTTTGCATGTATTTTTTTCCTGTGCCCTCTGACTGATTGGCACCTCTATTACATTGTAGTTTGGGATAGTAGGTAAACACAGACATTTTTGTGTCCTACTCAGGTGGTATGTTCGTCTTTCTCAATTTGAAGAGTGGCAAAGATAGATGGGCCATTAATTATTAGTTGTCTTCTGTAACTTTGCTCAACCTTAGAAAGAAAGTATAAATAAATAACTGCTTTATCTTATTTTACAGGAATTATTTGGGTTGCAAACTGGATTGGCACCAGTGATTTAAAAAAAAAATGCCTCAGTGCAAGATTTTGTCCATATGTAATAACTGTATGGTAATTAAGGATATTTTGAATTTGTTTTTCTATGAATGTATCTGACTGCAACTTATTTTGAATTTTTTCAAACAGGTTTATCAGGGAAAGTCAGTTAAGTCATGGTGAAAAGCTGCAGACCAACACTTTCAGTCAGAAGCAGCTTTATTCGCAAAGTTTGTGCACGCAAACAAGAAATTTGTTTTTGGTTCCATTTCACCCTCAGTATGAACATTTTAAAACATGTTTTTGTAAATGTGTGCATATACAGTGATTTTACAAAAGAGGAAGACAAGGTTGAATTAGGGAAGGTGAAGGTAAGTATCGATGTGGGAACTTCGAATGTTAAGTGTTCATCAAAGAGACAACCCGAGAAAACAAAACCTCTCTTGGCGGCTCGTTTTTAAAAAAGTAGTGCCAACTTGAAGGTAAAAGCCTCAAGTGTTTGAGTCCAGGATGTGTGGGGTATGCAGAGAATGTAGCTGCCTTTTTCCGGACCACAGACCTGTACAAGTCCTGGATGGAGGGAAGGTCAGTCCTGACGATAACATCTGCAGACTTAATTGTTTGTTCTATCCTCTTTTGTGGAGGAGTTCAACCACAGACACACCACACCAATGGACAAGAGTCAATGTTGTGTATTTAAGAAAATTTGGTATCATATGATCTTAACAGTTTCAGACATTTCAGATGATCAATTTTCTATCTTTGCAGCCATATAGTTGTTTTTAAGAGTTTTGATTCCATACCTTTTGCTGTCATTATTATTATTAACCAAATCGGACTGGTTTATCCCTTTGTACAGATGCTGCAGACAAAATGACTCACCAAGGAAAAAGCTGCACAGCACAGAGGTGGGAAGGGTCATACTATCCCATGATGCTTCGCTCAGGAAGTCGGACGCAGCCAGCAGCAGCGTCACATTCTCAACGAGCATGAACTAAGGGAGGAGGAGAAAGTCACACCATCACTAATTTTCCAACAGCTTTACGTCACTTCAGGCTGAGGACACTGAGGTGAGGATGACGGTGCAAACTTCTTGCTTTATATAAGCGTGTGTCCTTGTAGGTCGCTGCGTGGGATGACCGGGCATACCGGTGCACAGCACACAGTTTTCTGTAAAACAAGACATTTCTTACTGCATAGAAGCTGGCCATGCGAAAGCGTGAGGGTCCGTCTTTGACGTTGAGGAAGAGGAAGACGTGGATGAGCCCCAGAACGGCGTTAAAGGCACGCCAACACCAGTGACCAGTGCAAATGTCGGGCTGCTGTGATATTAGCCAGAAGGAGGCTGTGAGCCAGTGAAAACCTGGAGATCAAGGCAAAAAGCCATCAGAATCAGAGAGTTATAGCCCAAACGCAAACTACTGAAGTTTGTTTTTGGGTTGTGCCTAAATGGCACAGGAGGACCTTTGCTCTCTGTGCTCACCTGCTACTCCGCAGACCCACCAGTTGAAGACCCTGGCGAAGAACATGAGGCAGGTCACTCGTGCTCCCAACATGCCTGCTCTCCAGACCAGCTGGCACAGCAGGGCTGCTGGTGGCATTGCCAAGTGGCCTGGCCGTATCAGGCAGCAGGCTCGGCTGTACAGCACCAGGGCCCAGGAAATGGACAGCACACATAGTCCACAGCAATATGCCACTGAGTGTTAAACAGAAGCAAAGCATTAGACAATAAAGTCATGCCTCAAATAAGATCTAATAACTGACTTAGACATGAGCTGACCTGGTGACATTATCCCCACGTCTGTAGATACGACCACATATGCCTGCAGCAAGCTCTGAGGCAGCGTTAGGACAAGCGCCTCCAGCAGCCACAGGGCAGCAACGTCTGCCTGCTGCATGACAGCAGCACCCAGCTCAGCCACCGAGCCCTGCATATGCAGCACGGATCTCATGCAGTCCCACAACCTGCCAGCAGAGGGAGACAAACACCTGAACAGGTATAACCTTCTCAATGACAGAATGATGTCAAAATCCCTGTCTGCACTCTCAGGAGTGTCATATCTCTCCAAACATGCTGGCTGTGCTCACATGCAATGAACCCCGACATGCTGGGGTTACACAGATCATACCTTTTGAAGATGCCCAAGTGTAGCACGTGTATGATGGAGAGGTAGCACCGCCTTTCATCCCCGTCATCATAGTACCACTTCACACTTAGCAGCTGGACTGCTGTCCCAGGAAGGAAGAGGCCAAGCGTGAGGCCCGCCCACTGCGTCTCCTCGTTCCAAAGGTAGAATCCTATACAGTAGATCACTGATGCACGCACGCAAACAAAAGACGAGCAGGTTTGTGCAAGAATTTGAAGTGCAAATGGAACTTGCAGAGTGCCAGAACAAAATGAGGTAACAAGTCATTATGCACAAAGCATGCTTTATCAGTGGGACGAATTTCTGCAAAAAAAAAAAAAAAAAACTTAACCATTTGGCATTACAAACTGAATTTAACTGCAATGTTTTATAACCACAATGGAACTGGATTTGAATATGTGAATGGTTTGTATTAGATTGATTTGATCTTTCCATACACCTGGAAATGTGTCTTGAGATGACATGTATTGCAAATTGGCATTACATAAATAAAAGTAATTGAGGTGAACTGTATTAAAGCACTGCATATGTTCAGATATATTGCCAAAAGCCCAGAATGCGACGAGCAAAAAGATCCCCACCAGTGCAAGTCATGCTGTCTGTCTACCAGTTTTGATGCAAACTTCAAATATTTGTTACATAAACTGATGCTGCTCAGAAATGAGAAATCGGCAGAAGTGTGGGGTCCAACCAGCAGCTGAGTATTTTTATCTTCAGGGAATGGTATACCTGTAGAACACAAAGTCACACTTTGTACAGATCCCAGTCATCTTTCTGCTATCCTGACCTTGGCTCATTGATCCGCTTGTTCAGGGAGACTGAGCTGACAGATTACAGGTGGGATGAGAACAGCAGGAGAGGTCATTTTGTCTAATATGGACTAAAATTTTAGAAATTAATATGGGGTATGGATTTTAATAATACATATTTATATCTATAAATGCTGTTTGTGGTGAGTGGGAGGATGACAGGTGAAGCAGTTGGGGGACACCTTCAGGTGTTCACAGCAGTTTCCAGCTGAGGTAAACAAAGCCTCGGCTCTCTGCTCGCACTAGTAATAACAGCTTCACCTATTAAATTGCGTTTCCACCGGAACATAAAGCTTCGTGACAGTGCTACAGAGGCCATATTTCCATGAATGCAGCTAAAACCTCCACAGTGTCATGAAACCTGTCGTTTTGCTTTTATTTCTATTTTATTCCATAAAGCATTAACTTGGGAGCGCGAACGCCACCGGCAAGCTAGCTGCCCACTTACGTGCGCTCCGCTCGGCCACGATAACGAGCGCCGACACGCCGAGCAGGATTGCCTGGCACCACGCTATCCAGCAGCCGCTCCGCCGGGCCGCGGACGGCATCCTGCGGGCGAGCGCTCCAGGAGCGGCGTTCATCATGTTGCAGATATATGTGAGGAGCGAGGAGCAGCGGGGTACATGATCCTGGTCATCCTTCTCTCCGGGAACATCCGCTCCCTTCTTCTTTTTCTTCTTCTTCTCCCGTTGCCCACCCCCCTGTCAAAAAACATGACGTCAGTGGTCGCTTTAAAGGGGCATCAGTTACCGAGCGACTCATGAGACTGTAACTGTAGAGTTTATGGCAGGCCATTGTATCATTTGATCACCATCACAGATGCATTTAATGACCATCGGCCGTACCATTATGACCACTGACATTCGAAGTGAATAACATTGATTATGTCTTCATCTTGGCATGTATTGTTGGTTGAGATGTATATGTCGAGCACCAATAGATGAGCTGTGTAGCTCAAATGATGATGGTCGTGGGGGTTCTGATATACACAGTGGGCCACACCTCATTGCGTGGTTTTTACCAGTAAGCCCATGCTGACCAGAGTTCTCCACCTAAGTGGGAATGAACAACTGGAACAACTGACAACACCGATGAATCATTTGTGTATGTGGGAGGCAGATGTCTTTAAAATGCTTTCTTGTTTAATATGGAGCACCGGGTTGCACTGTGGAAGAAAGCACAAGGCTGTGGATATTATCATGCACTTAATATCAGAGTTATTCGTTCATATTAGTACATCTGAAGTGAAAATCTTCATGCCAGATAAGACAATATAACTTTATGAAGACACCTATTATGTAAAGGCATTACAAGCCTATTGCAGATGCAGTGTTTTTATCAATGAAAACGAATTTCATCATTTGCTACTGGAACATGGATGTGGTCTCGTTTTTACAGATCCAGCTACAACTACAGAGGTAAATGCATCTGAGCATGGCCACTCCAGGTTCCACAAGAGACCCTCAAGCATTTTCCTCCTGAATTTTCTCTTGAATTAATTTCTTTGGATGAAAACCCCCCAAACCAAAACAACTAAAACATTGTATTGTAAAGTTCATTCCAGTGAATGTTTGTACCTCTCAAATGTAATAGTTAAATGTACAATAGTTAATTTGTTGATTTTTTTATTTGCTAACAGCTGAAACTAATTGTTTTTGGCAGGCAAAGTGATGTGACTGATCATCAAGAATCATTAAGAAGTCAAAAAACATATATGCCTGGGTGATAGATCAACGGTTTTGTATCAGATACCAACCAGAGCTTCGTTAGCTTCCTGTGGTATTTCCAGATACCATAGGAATCACTGTGCACATCACTGTATGAAGTTCATTCCTCATTGAGTGAACATGCAATAAAAATCAAATTTATTTACGGATCAAGTCACAAATAGTATTTTATTTTTGCAGTGCTATTTCCATCGCACCCAGACTAAGCCAACCGCCGGGTAGTCAGGCAGATCATTCACATCAAAATCTTCTACTGAAAACCACCACTAATATTTGTATCATACTTTAAGAAATGTGGCTGTAGGATGTTTTAAAACTAGGCAATTCTTCTTTCATTTCTTTTCATCATACAGAACAAAAGGAAGAGCAACTGTCAGACAGATGGTGACCTGATCTACAGCATATCATCAGCCAAGAGGCAGGTCAGGTAGGAGTCATATGAGCTACCAGTTTCAGTGTCCACATTAAAGCAAGTTTCACAGCACAATGAAGTGTGTTAGTGTTTGAGTGTGTGGTTGGGGGATGTGGGGAGGCGAAACAGAAACTCCTCCTCTAACATCAACTCTTCTGAGTTCAGACTGAAATTCTGAAATTCACTGCCCCCACTGACCAACCAACTCTAAAACCTTTTGAAGAAAAGTTTTATATATTACCAAAATCATCTCATTTTGGTAATAATCTATTGTTTCAAATGTTTAAAAATATTTAACCAAATATATAGCAAATATCAAAGATTGAATTATTTGGCCATAGTGACAAGTAGTGTATTTAGATGATTCAGGTTGCCTGTTACAACTGACACCTTGGAGGAGCCAGCATAATTCTGTGAGGCTGTTTTACTGCAAGTGGTGCAATTCAAAACATGGTTGGAATATTAATGAAAAACAACTATCTCCAAATTCCTTAATTTCATCTCAAACCAAGAAGTGGATGAATGAAACATGGTCACAGCTGTGTGTTCTAATTATTATTCCAAACATTTACATTGGTTTTGGATTAGAAAAAGCATGCTGATGTTAACCGTTTTGTCAAACCCTGACCTAAATTGTACTTAAAATCTGTGAACTTTGTTTGAAAATGCCTGACATTTGAATTATGTGTTGATAACAAGCATCAATTATTCATTACACCACCTGACTATTGAAACCCATCCTTTGTCGACGCTTCTTTGGTTTATATTTAGAGGTTTGTTAGCCCAAAAATTCTATTTTAGTTTTTAAAGTTATTTCTTTGATACATACATCTCTCAATCTGGCCATGTTACTAACTAGAGCTGCATGTATTTGAAATAGGTTTGATGGCGATATAAGAGCCATCACAAATAAAATAAAAATTCCCTCAAATGCTGCATTTCAACAAACTGCATTAATTTTTGCAAACATCTTAACTGACATCTTAACATTTTGCCTCGTCATGATATTTCACATGCATGCCGAGTTGAAGTTTTCTGTTTGTGGGCAAAACGTCTACAGCCTGACTGAAACTGAGATCACGGCGTATACATATAGGTTCAACATTTGCAGTAAGACCATGCTGATAGTGAGAATAGCGTAATTTTGAGGTAATTATATATTTTTTTCCAGGCTGAAGCGGTGATACTTACTGGCGAATATCCAGAGACTCATAACAGGATGTTTATCTGCATCACTAACTCCCCACATCAGCCGAGTGCACTCACACAAAGGCAAGCATGTATACCATGCACGAACAATTGAGGTTTCCTCTGTGTCGTCATTTCAGCACTTAGCCCACTGATGCAAGAGTCATGTTTGTGCAGTCATTTTCACTTTAGCCACTCAGCGCTAATACAGGCATGTGCACACAAACAGAAAAACTTGGTCTTACACAGTGAGTCCACAAATATCATCACATTTTGGTAATAATTTATTGTTTCAAATGTTTAAAAATATTTAACCAAATATATAGCAAATATCAAATTTTTACACACCTTAGATTCAAATCAGTAACTGAATAAATTATAAAGACAAAAGAATATTAAATCATTGAAGTCTGTGTTTTCCCAGGTCATGCTGGCAATGTCTTGACTCTTCATGAGCTCAAATCCCTATTGAGTATATAGGCAATCCATGATAGAGATAAGGCTTTACTTCAAATAGGACAGTGACAGACAGCTGCTGAGTTGGCTTCTAAGGATTATTTGGTGGGATTAGCAGGTCAGTCTTAAGTCTCTGAAATGCAGCCTGACTCCAGCTTGATGCTTGCTGGTGGCAAAACCATGGGACTGTGATAATGCATCTGAGCAGAGGTACACTCCGGTACTGATCTAGAGATGCTCAGCTCGGCCTTCCCTCTGGCAGCATCTTGGAGGCTTAAGATATTATTCTCTATCTTTTGTATCAGGTCAATGATGTTCCCTTTGTCTATCTCAGCCTCAGTAGTCATTACTTCTAGCTGCTCTGCAGCCTCACTCATGTCGAACTTCTCTATCTCAGAATTGACCCGTTGTAGCTCCTCTGGTGACAGCCTCCGGGATGCTGAGGGGGACAGAGGGCAGAAGGCTTGGAGGTGCACCTGCAGGCTGCTGTAGTGAAGATATGTACTGGAGCAGCGAGGACAGCGGTGGGTCCCCTCCCCTGTATGCAGTCGCTTGTGAAGCTTGAGGTGAATAAATTGAGTAAATCGGGCTGGGCAGAGCTTGCACTGGTAAGGCCTCTCACCAGAGTGCAATCTCTGGTGGGTCTTCAAGTTGCTGGTGCTGCTAAATCTCTTATGGCACACCTAAAAATAAAGCAGCGTAAATGTAATACATGCGTGTTCAAGCTTAGATGACATGATGGCAAGAAAGTGTTAGCTTTTTTCAATATGCAGATTCAAGATGTGAAATAATACTAATGAAGTTCCACACTTACCTTGCACTCATGAGGCTTCTCTCCTGTGTGAACCAGGTAGTGTTTCTGCAAGTGTGCCAGCTGAGTGAAGTTCTTGTTGCAGGTCTGACATTTAAATGGACGCTCACCACTGTGCACTCGCAGATGAACCTGAAAACAACATGTAAGAGCAATAGGTTTAGTTTCAGCTTTACTATGTTCTAAACCACAGCATAGTCATTCAGTTATATTTCTTGCTAGTTATTTTCTTAAACTTTCTTCAGGATCTTGAAGCTGTACTGACCTTGAGATTGGACAGCTGCCCGAACACCTTTCCACAGATGTTGCATTCATACCGAATCTTTCCATTTTGCCTTGTGAGTGGATAAGACAGGGTCTTGTAGCCAATGGTCTGGCCTCCTCTCTTTTGCCTCCCAAGATCCAATGCATCTTCAGCATTGCTCTGAGTGGCAGAGGTAGGTTTGGAAGGAAGGTAGTTTGAGGAGGCAGCTGTAGCAACTGGAGGTGAGCATTCCCGTGGTACAAAAGAAGGTTCTCCATGGAGATTAATGCCAATGGGTGGGGAGCAGGCCTTGGCAGATGCAGTGAGGTCTGTGTAGACATTGGTGCAAGCAGAGTATTTAAAGTCTCTGAGGTCAGTTGAAGTATTCCTGAGGTAGTTTACCTTTTTGGAGTAGAGGTCATTGGTGTCTTTGTGCTCACTGCTTTGCATAAGACTGCGGTCTTGTTTGCAGTTGGATGACACAAGTAAAAAGTCTTTGGAACCACTACCTGAAGGATGTAGAAAGTGTGCATAGTTGTCGAAAGGTAGAAACTTAGAGGATGTGGGCAAGTGTGGTTTCAGTCGTTCATTGTAGAATGGTAACGAATGTGGGAGAAGGCCCAGTGAGTAGTGAGGAAGTAAATAGGGGCCCTCCCTGAGAGTGGCGTGAACATCCTTAGAAACACAAGGTTTTTGGTGAGGTTCAGTTTTGCCTGCGTCTTGAGCGTGTTGCATGGCAAAGTGCAAATTAGTTGGAATAGATGTGCTTAATGCTGGCCTTTTGACAGAAGAAGAGCTGTATGGTGCCAAAGATAGCAAAGGAACATATCTGTAGCCATGAGCGGGCTCCAAGTTGG